TGCTAATGTAAAAGAGATTCAATTTTCAAACATTTCGATGTTTCTATTGGCTCTAACGGAAATCTGGCCTTATATTAATGGAACGCGTTGAAAACTGCACCTCTTATAAAGATAATTATTACGAAGATTAGTATATAGTTATAGTAGATAACCTTAAATCAGCTTTATATCAACTTATATTTTCCACGTATAATTTGAAAAATAAAACTTTTTTATCTATGAACTGGGAAAACATTACGAGAAATGTCGTGCCCATTAGGAAGACTCGTTTTACAACCCATCATATTTCAAGGTATAAAGGGAAATCAGTATACTATTTATTGCATTCGAGTATCTTAGGTCAATGCCAGCGGAAGAGCCACCCGTTCAGTTTGTGTAACGGCACAAGCCTGCTTGGGCAAGTGCTAAATGTCAACAAAGTGAACTCGTCTCGAGTCAAGCAACCTCGCTCGGGCTGTTATAAAAATATTGTATACCGATTGGATAATTTTCTGATTGCATTCTGATATAACTTTTAGGTTGTTGACTTCTTGTTTTGATGAAAAAAAATGCATTTTTCATTATTAATTACATATAATTTCATTATGTACTACTATTGTAAATGTACTTCAAATTAGTAAAAATTACTAAAAATGATTAGTTTCCGGTAAAAACGTTCTCCGATACTCTATATTTACCATACGAAACACAGCAGCATAAAACTGCTATTTTATGCTAGTATTCTGTGAGAGCGTGGTCTTTCTCCGGTTGAGCCGACTCGTTCGTGCTGCAACTATAACATAGCTGCAGCATGTCTCTACCACCTATAACATTTAGTAACAGCCCATATACGTCCCTCAGATGGGCACAGGCCGCCGATTTTATCTGTGCCGGATATATTCAAAACTCGGCTTACTATGAAATTTTAGGGCAAGCTCTAAACCTACCTGAGTTTTTAAAGCTCTTATCATCTATTTGATATTAAATGATCTATAAGATTCAAAATTATATTTTAACAAAAAAATATACATTCAAAAATAACGAAGGACATAGAATAATTAATTAATTAATTAATAATCGATGTGAAGACCGGTAATGTGAAAATGCAAGCCCTTCTAATTGCAAGACTTGCTCGTACCAGTCAGTACTGAACAGAAACATTTTAGTTCTGATTACCAGTTATCGTTCAAGGTCTCACGTGATGTTATTTTTTTAGTTAGTGAATGTTCCAAATTTAAATAGTGATTTTTGCATAATATTTGGATTTAAATAATTTTATTTAATTAATTAAATTTAATAAATGCTTAAGGTTACTAGCGAGCTGTGCGGTGGTCTATGTTCGAAGGTACTCTGTGTGATAGAATACGCAATGAAGATGCCGGCAGTAGAACCAGAGTAACCGACATAGCCATCAGGTTCAGAAAACCGAAGTGAATATGCGGTAATGGGAAGTGGGTAGTCCGCCGGTCTTATAGCTCTAAAATCCGACAACCGATGTCGAAGAAAGGTTCTCGAAAAGCAGTTTCCTACCAGTGTATAAAGCGTAGGGCAGACTCCCACTAATAGATGGTGTGATGACATGGTAAGACAAGTCGATGGATGCAGGTAGCCCAGAGGAGGCTATTTTCAGCAGTGGCCAGTAATGAAGATGACCAACATTACAGCCTAAGCGATATAATCTATATCTGGCGATATGGATTAAGAACCTGTCCGGGTAACTTAATAATTATCCAAAAATTCTCGGGAGGTCTCACAATGACCTTTTAAATGTCTACCTGCCTACCAATGAACAAACTTTGATTTGTAACGAATTTCTAGGTATTTCTAACTTTAAATGAAAATTGTAAACAGTTTATTCTGTTTTCGAGCGTACATAATGACATCTAATGATATATTGTCCTGGTTAGTACTAATAAAAAAAAACTGCGGTTACCAAACCGATAGGCTATAACGCTATAATATAAATAACCTTTTCGTAGGCTATAATCGTGGTAGCTCAGATGGTTGACGCTCGCTGTAAATATAACAGAACGCGAATAACCCGGGTTCGATCCCCGCCCGACCCAATGAAATTGTTAATTTCAATTTTAAGTGCTGATTTACCACGTGCTCGGCGGTGAAGGAAAACATCGTGAGAAAACCTGCATGTCTGAGGAATAAGAAAAAAAATATTTCGAAGACATGTGAAGTTCGCCAACACGCATTGGGGCAGCGCGGCGGACACTTCCTTGCCCTAAGACCCTCTCAGAAATGAGGGGAGGCCTCTGCCCAGCAGTGGGACGTTTATAGGCTCTAACTTTTAACTAACTTTAGACTATAATGGATGGATAGATGGATGATAGTTCTGTCAAGATGTACCGCATTGCAATCCGCGCACTGGGTTTTTATCAGAGGTATTATCAGAATAAAGTAATCTAAGTAGCCGCTCGGTATTCTATAGGATGCACTGCAAAAGTATATTGGGTTCGTTAATGGTTTTTATTTTATGTTAGAGTAGTGCGGTATACCTCTCAGAGTTAAGCGCGAATATTCTAATGGAAATTACAACTCATTTTGCATCGATTCCATTTTACATCGTTTCAACAAAGTTTTTTTTAAGTTATTTATCCTTGGTCGTTTGAAAGTGCTTGTTGTATAAGTTAAAGTTGTTACAAGCTTGACTAAATACCCATGATCCGTGAAAACCATAATGATTTACTTTTATTTTATTTACAATGGAACTGCAATGGAAGGCCACCTTGAATATACATATTTTTTTAATTGCGCGCCTCGATATATTTAGTTTTTTTTCTTTTCTTATGTGTTATTATGTTTGTACACACTGAGCAAATATCACTAAAGCTGTTTTTATTTTCAAATCCGTGCTTTGATTATTTCTGCGTTCGATTTTATTTTATGTGTAAGCTAGTTTTTACATAGCATAGCTTTTGTTTTGAATATTTTATTCGTTGCTGTAAACAGTAAAATTTTATTTTATATTTATTTTAGGCCATTATAATTCTTCCATGTTGGAATCAATCAATCAGACAAACACTTAGTCTCTGCGTACCGAGACGTTAAATTTGTTCGATTTAGATCTTTAGATTAACAGAACCGACGTTTTCCTGTTTTCCTGTTTTGACCGATGAGACTGTATGGAATATTTTTAAGAATATGATGTATGTAGTACATGTTAAGGAAAGATAAAGGTACTGCGTAAATCACATTGCACGTGACTTACCTACTATTGGTGCGATATTTTATTTGGCCTGTCACCACATTTTAAAACAAACAAGGACACAAACACAACTATTAAATACGAAGTTGCGTTATTATCTATGATGGTGAATCTTTAAATCTAAAACTAACTTAAGGCCATTCTATGATCTAAGTAAAATATCTGAAAAGAAGTTTAGATTTCTGCGTATTTTTACGGTCGCAGTAAAAATATATTTTCCAATTAGGTAGGTAGAGAGGTATAGAGATTGATTAAATAATATATTTGTAATGTACAATATTTTAAATTTAAAATTATTTTATAGGTATTTTATTCATATAACGCTGAAGTACAATGTCTATGCAAATACCTACTTAATAGTTGGCACCCTGTCCGGGACACCTGTGTCGTGCACCATGATTGATTTATACTGTATGTGATGGTTTTACTTAATTCGTTTCGCGGTGTTTTACGATCGGATGATTATTGTGTTGTTTGCAACAAAAACTTATTTTTATCTCGATCTAAATTAGACTGCTCAGGGTTGAGTCACGAACATCATTAGTATTTCTTATACTCCGACGAAAAGTTAAGTGAACTCTACACTATAGACGATTTTTTATCGGACAAAACGTTATAACAGCCAGTGCTACGAATTATCAAGGTACTATAACTTTAATAAATACTCAGTATTCAGTTCAAATATTAAAACGACATATTATTATGCCTGATCACCTAATTTGTTTTTGAAAGTGTAAAAGAAACTTTATCAAATGAAAAACATTAGTAATTGATCACTTAATGTTGCATCATCCTTAAACTTTGCTTTAATTCGTAAATAATTAAACACTTTGTTGTATTAAATCTTGATAAAGTGAGACACTGTGTCAAGAAAAGCAAATAAGCCTGGTTGTCAGGCTTCAACTAAGATGAAATATCCGTAGAAAATATAATCGATGTCCCATTTTATCATAGATCATCAATTTTATGTAACATCCTGTTTATAATAAAAATAAACAAAGAAACAACACCATCAGTAATTGAAAAAAATTACAGATTCATTGAGGGCCATGAGTGTTTTTTTTTTCTATTCAGTAACCAGTTGATGTTGTCTACACAAAAATTCAATTTTATTTCATATTTAGTCATTACATAGTTTTATGACAGTTGAGATAAAATTTACGATTTATTATTTTTAAGACTAAAAGGGATACCATATATCAAAGCAGAAATTCTATCTTTAAATATTTTAATAAAGGTATTTCGCGTTTATTTTATTAAGAATAACCATTGACCAAAATAAAAAAATTTAAATAATAAAATTAAACGAATATCTCAAACGAGGGTTTCCTATTGCAAGAATCTAAATATACGTAATTTGTAAGTAAAACATATTTTATAACGTAATTTTATATCGAAATCGTTGAAGTGTAACGTAAGTTAAAACTGTTCATCTTCGCTGACTGGGACTTAGCTACGTTGCGCGTTTGTCCCATGAACCAGAATCAGTAAACCATCCTAGCGTGAAGGATACCTACATCTTTACTTATTGTATGTTAAACATAGGTTTTTAATTAAAGGAAAATTTTATATGAAGTGCTATTATTGGAATGTGTTTGCTTACTATAGGAGCGACGAAGCTTTTTTACTTTTGGTATATTTCTCTCATAGGTATTTTGAAACGGTTTTAAAAATAATGCGTGGTCTTAATACAAAAAGATTTTAAACGTTATCAAAAATAAATAATATTTCCACAGTTAAGCTTATTTATGTATATATTGATTAAAAATTTAAGAGTTGGACTTTAAGGAAGACTAGAACTTACCTGAAGTTAAGATCCTGCAAGTTAAGAAAGCGTTGAAAGTATGCAACCACTTACACAAATTTAAGAAAACTGAGATTCTTAGTTATTTTTTTAATATGCTTGCGGTATGACGCTCGGCAATGTATTGGTGGTGGTTTGATAATGCGCTGTGTTTATATAGCCACCGGGTTTCGGAGCCGCGTCGCCTGCCAAGCAAGTGATCTGCGTACAGCCATCTCTACATACGAGCTTTGTTTTTTCGTGGCCATCTTCGTTGTTTAGTCTTTTTTTTTTCAAAAGATCATAAGGCGATCGATTTTTTACGTAAAGTAAGAAGCCAGTGATATTAAATACATAGTTTTATAATAGATACACTGCATATGGTATAGTGGAATAGTTTAAAATAAAAGTTTTGTGAGTGTCGACAAAAATAAACTTTTGCATAACATTATTTTGATTAAATATTAAGAAAAAATATTAATGTCATTTCATTACTTTAATTTTTTTTTCGGTATGTAGCTTCTTTACGTAAAGCAACAAGCCAGTGATATTGATTACCTACATATTTTCTAATTCCAATGCACATGGTATAATAAAATATTTTAAACATTAAAATTCTTGATAGCGTCGACTAAAATAAACTTTTGCGTAACATTATTTTGATGAACTATTAAGAAAAAATATTAATGTCATTACATTATTTTAAAAACTTTTTTTCGGTAAGTAGCTTCTTTACGTAAAGCAACAAACCAGTGATATTGATTACCTAGATCGTTTTATAATTCCAATGCACATGGTATGATGAAATATTTTAAACATTAAAATTCTTGATAGCGTCAACTAAAATAAACTTTTGCATAACATTATTTTGATGAAATATTAAGAAAAAATATTAATGTCATTACATTCTTTTAAAAACTTTTTTTCGGTAAGTAGCTTCTTTACGTAAAGCAACAAGCCAGTGATATTGATTACCTACTTCGTTTTATAATTCCAATGCACATGGTATAATGAAATATTTTAAACATTAAAATTCTTGATAGCGTCGATAAAAATAAACTTTTGCAAAACAGTATTATATGTAATATTAAGATAAAATATTAACATGATTATTATATTCTTTTCAAATACCTAATAAATTTTTATATACTCAAACAAAAAATTGAATTTTAAAACAATAAAACCTGTCTAACTTAATTGGTGTTTGTTCGATTTAATTGGTTGTATTTAAATAATTTTACATGAAAGCTTCGTGTATTGGATAAATACTTAATCACGGTTATGTTTGAATATGTGTATTTCGTGTTTTCGTTATTTTGAGCTTATTTGATGCATCCTATTAGTGATTTGACTGATAAAATTTTAGTTTAGATATTTTTGCTACTTCTTCAAAGTAGAGTGGAAAATTCCCGATATTTAAATACAAGATATATGCTTTATGTAATAGAATATTCCGATCAGTAACTGAAATGAGTAAGCTATTGTAGTTTATATATTTTTGGAAACATATTAAACTTTTATTTGAGTCGCATAACTTAAAAGAATTTTTTATGTACTATAAGGTCTATGTATAATTAGCTTAGCCAGGTTACTCAGAGGCAAAGTGTATAAATTAAAAAAAGTTACAGGACGTGAGCAACCCCGGATAGATCCATGTCGGCAACATCATCATCATCATTACAGTCCATCACATATTCACTTAGGCCGGCGATTGCCTCAATCCTCCAGATTTTAAATTAGTTGTCACGCATTGCCGGCGGGTTGAAATCCGCAGTTTATCATTTTCAGTTATACGTCTAAGAGTAACTGAACTCTGTCGTTCCTTTAGAAACCCCTGGGATGATTTTGGGGTAATAAATATATTTATATAATATAAACAGCAATATTCTTTTACGAAAATCGATGAGTATTATGATAGCATTGTTTAAATAACCGTATAATACACATATTAACGATAATAATAACTAAAAAAATAAAGTATAGACATTTTATTGCTTTTCTGGTTTTTCAACATTTTTTTGAGTGGTTGATTATACAAATATGTCGCCATCTACTTGCTTTTAGAAAAAGATAATATAAAATTATTTCTCTCCTGGGTCAAGAACCTTATTATACATTTTGCTCGAAAAAAAAAGTAACCGCTCATAGCTATTTTTATGTGTCCTGTAGACGTTATTTTTATCGAAACATATTATACGGTTGGCCTTCTTTATGCAAGACGACAAGGTCCAGAATACCATTAGCAATAATATATATAAAAGTCTATTCTTTCTAATGATTATAATCTAAAACATCAGTTACCAGAGTCGTAACTTCAAACAGTAAGAATAATGACAACATAAAAATTATTTAACCTTGGTCGTGCCTATTACGTGAAAGTTACTTAAAATATTTTAAAACTCCGATCGTTTATACTTTATGTTAACTTCGACTGTTATCTCCATGCCGTCCAATTAAACGTAAAGTGCCGACATGAGTAAAAAGAGAAAGTTGCGGTTTCCTAATTTTCTGTAAGTGGAGTTTATAACACATTTATTTCCATTACAGTTATTAAAATTCTGACAAAAAGCACATGCCCATTAAATGAAAACTATATATGATTTGCCTATAAAAAGCTCACTTGTTGGGTTCTGCCACATTTAGATAGATTTACTGCAATCGTAAATCGGGGACGGATTTGTGATCATATTATCTGTTTTGCTCTACGCGGAGATTTCTATCTGAAACGATAGATGATTATTCCACCTTCTATTTTTATATTTTTTTTTACAGGAGAGAACGCATACGAGCATGCGGCTCACCTAATGTTAAGTGACTACCGCCGCCCATGTTCAACCGCAACACCAGGGGAATTGCGGGTGCGTTGCGTGCGTTGAATAAGCTCTTTTCATGAAGGTCCGTAAGTCGTATCGGTCCGGAAAAATCGCCGGTGCTAAACAATTTCACAGAGAGGGCGTACGTAGAAGAAAACACCTAGTAAAACGTACAGTGGTGGACAGCCAAACATCCAAATGGTGTGGATGGTATCGGGAGTGTTGCCGCGATGTGCGTTCGTAAGATTTAGCCTCTGGGATTAATCCTGTTGAAAGAAACAAGTCGTTAATGCGATTCTAACGACACCTCCGCTCCGGAATGATGTGTTGGATTCTCTTTTAGAGTTAATTACAGTCTATCAAATATCCACTGCGGAACTCAAGTTACGCCGATATTTGCTAGAGCTGCAACTTATTTTGAGTTGTTATTAAGAAGATGCTGCTGATGGAGATTCTCTTACCAACACAGAATAGAATAGAATAGAATTGAATGGAATCCCATATGATATTATGCTAAAGAAGTAACTGAAATAAACTAATCTAGCTGTCTTGACACTAGTGAGATTTTTTTTTATAGGATAGGGTGACAAACGAGCACACAGTCCACCTGATGGTAAGTGGTTGCTGTGGCCCATAGACATCTACATCTATCCTCGATTACACATGCGTTGTCACCCGTGAGGACTAAGATGGAATGCCTCGTTTCCAGTAAAAAGGGTCTCCGGTTCTATACACTCACCATACGAAATACAGCAGCATTAAGCTACTATTTCACGCTGGTATTCTGTGAGAGCGTGGTCCTTCCCCGGTCGAGCCGACCCATTCGTGCTACAACTATACTACTAATATAGCTGCAGCAAAATTTCTAATCTTTTAATTTTTTATTCAATATAGTATATGAAAGTCATTTTTTACTTTACCACTAGTTCGGTAAAATCTCTGTCCTGGGAAGAATCAGCAAGAAACCCAGCGGGACTTTTTTAAATAAATTTTACAATGTCAATGGTTGCAAAATATTTACAAAATCTATTTTAGTTAAATCTATCTTAACAGGATGGAAGCGACCACCTCATTCCCAGGGGTTGATATCAACCATGTATTCATTTATATTATAAAAACACTTTTTATACAGTTTTTGTTTAATCAAATATTTAAAGTTGGTAAAAGAGAGACCCTGTATATTTTCTGGGACTTTGTTGTAATAGCGTATACATTGCACAAAGAGTGATTAACTGATTCTGTGGAGTCGAGAAACTGGTATCACTAGCTTGTGTTTGTTTATAGTGCTTACAGAGTGTATATTACTTTTTTACTTTTATACTGAGAGGCCAAAGTTAATTTTTTTTTGCGCCCGAAGCAGATATGGGCAACCCTCCGGTAACGGGGGAGGTGGTTATGTGGAGACTTTTACCCACTAAACACCATCTTTTGGCATTTGCTTAACGTATATTTATTTCTTTAATATTTTCTCTAAGAGACTCTTGGTTTTATGTGGGTTGTAAATGGGCCCTCCTCTGCAAAACAAAAATAGTTTTTAAAGCGGCCGCATTTCCCTATAGAAAAACCCATAATACATTATGCTATCGAAGTAACTAAAACAAACTAATCTAGCTGTCTCGACACTAGTGAGACCTCTAATCTTTTTTATAGCATAAGCTGCAGAGCTTAGTCTGCTTGCTAGTTTAGACATATGGTAGCCGGATACTTCGTTTCTAACGCATATATTGTATGTAACTCTACTACTATAATATTGTATGTAACTCTACGTTAGCCTTGCTTACCATATCATTACCTGTTATTAGCGTTGCCAGGCGTCCGGATAACGCCGGACACAGTCAGGCTTTTTGGTTGCGTGTCCGGCCAAATTAGACGGTGTCCGGCCTGTCCGGCTTTTGTTAGGCTTTTTAAATTTGACCATTTCTTTACATTTTTCATGTACTTACATACATACTATAGCAATTATTGACATTACTATTGTATTAAATGATTAATAATAAATAAGACTGATTTATTCAATTGTTATTATTTTATAACAATTTAAGGTAAATGATAAAAATCATTGTTTTACTTTAAAAAATGTGATTTTACTAAGACTAAAAAATTAAGGGTGTTCGGCCTTTTTTACCAAAATGTCCGGCTAAGCTTGCTGGTTTGTCCGGCTTTTCGGTTTAAAGACCTGGCAACCCTACCTGTTATCGATTATAATTAGGTATACATTTAAAGTTTTGAAACGCACTAAGAGAAGTAAACGGCAACGAAGATTTCTATTTTATTATAATAATTATAATACATTCTGTACGATTGATTTTATTATAATTAAAATATTTTGTGACATGCGCTTCAACTCCGTCTGTCTATCTAAACTTTATATACCCCACGTAAGCCTTAAAACAATAGCGACATTTACATAAAATTTGATTATAATATAAATATATAAATCTTAATGAAATTAATTTTGCCAAGTTTATAGCGTTTAATTGTGCTCATTTTTATTTTTGATTTGCTATTTTTTATGTTTCGAGCATTTTAATTAAATCTCGGGTTATATTTGAATTTAGGATGTCATACACCTCACAGTCTCCTGCATGATCAAGGATGCTGCAAAGCACTCGAAACTTCGGAAATTTAAAAATAAATTATACGTTAATAAATCTGTAAAATTAGTTTTATTGAATATCAAAAATTTTTTTTTAGTTATTGTTATTTATTTAAGTTTTTTACTCAACAAATTCAAGTGGTATAACGTACGTTTTACATAGACGTCATTATGAGGCATTTAAGGAATACTATTTTGTACCATTTGGGCGATTTTTCACATAATTATGTGAAATGTACAAATATGAAAAATTTATATAAACATAGTACATATCCGCAATATCTTCTAAAGTAAATGCGAAGAAAGTCGTGGGTGTAGCATGTTAATAATATAATTTCATTGTAGCTCACGTCCAACGTCTTCTTACGTGCCATTACATAGTTTATTAGATTACACGTCAAGCTATCGAAGCCCTGCATTTCAACCATTGCTAAATATAGAAACAGCTTAAAGATCTAATCATAGACTCGTCCGCTGAATGTCTAGACCGGTAAATAGCCTGGACGCGGAAACTTTGCGTTCCTTCTTCGTAATAGGCACTCTGTCAAGGCGTTATCAACTTATTCCACATTAAGGGAAGATAGCACGTTTAGACGTTGAATTATTGGTTGGTTGACTTGATTTTCGTTGTATTTACCTCTAAAGTAATTTGACCCCACTTAAATATTTATTTTACGAGTTACGTATATACTTATACTAGCTGGCGCGTCAGACTTTGTTGTACCTTTTCCGGCTGATGCTGCGTTGAGGTTCTCCACCAATTTTCTCTTCGGAATTGAACAATGTAAAGAAAAGATCATTAAAGAGTCAGTATTTGTAATTACCTTTTTGGCGCTTGGGAATGCAATCCCGTAAGATAGATTCAATCAACCACGGGATCCGCGGATATTTGCTGAATGCCCAGATAGTCAGTAAGACTTTACAAATAAATTATAAACAAGTTCAATATTTGAAGGGTCCTAAATGGAACAAACCATTTTTTAATGTTTTTCATACCTATACAATTATTATTATTTAAAAAATATTAGAAGATAATCAAACATTATTTTGAAAGAAGTTTCGCATAAACGTTAAAGTATTTATTGTATCTTAAGCTCAATAGCTTCTGAATTTGCATATTCCATGACCAGCAGCGGAACATGCTCCTTCTACCACGCTTATCGTAACAACAGTCATTAAGACGATTTGTAAGTATGTGCCTTTTAGTTCACCTGACGAGTAGCAAATACGTATGAATTCCACACTCCGTGAATCCCGCAAATCCCGTGCGGGATGTGCAGGATTGACGGACCTCTTACATTACAAAACTAGATAATATTTTGTTCAAATATGACCTCAATCATACAAGTAATTCAGAAGTTACACGATTACTATCAGACGCACAGACGATTTTATATTACCTATATAATGGTTTGTTTTGTTCTAAAGCCAGCAGTAGGTTGATAAAGGCTAATGAAGAACAGACTGGCATACATGATATTCCTGTGACAATTAAGACCTGTATACATCTTCCCCCTAGCAAGTGGTAAGTTGGAACTTAAAATTTTTGTGATGACTGAGGGAATCGAACATGGTTTAGCACACTGCCATAGCATTCCGCTCTACCACCTAGGAAGCCTGCTTGTCTAAAATTAAAAAATATGTTTAGGTATGCGTAGTCCATCATCACGCACTAAGGCAGCTCAACAGACATTTTCCTGTCACAAAG